TACTACACACACACACACACACACACACACACACACACACACACACACACACACACACACACACACATGGCGATGTCCTTGTTTAGGATAAATTAATGAAAACTGATAATCCTTATCATTGCAACTAAACAAGAATTTATAATTGAATTAATTTTGTGTCAACTGTCATCAATCAATAAAATCATCATGTTATCCATATAGTAATATTATTATTTTTATGGGATAATAATTCATTGATATTTTCATATTTATCATTTCGAATTTTTTTTTTCGTTCTAAATAAAAATTTTAATTTACAAATATTAATATTGTATGTTGAGGTTAAATTTATCTTTTAATGCAATATTTTTATAAAATGAAATGATGAAAAATAACACTTTTAAATCAATATTTCATTATTGAATTAAATTATAATTTGAAAATTTATCGCAACCTTTAACTTATCGTTTTCTATCAAATTTAAAAATTATTGCAAATTTGAAAAATTTAAAAAAGTAAAAAAAGAAAAGTTCGCCCTTATTTAATTTTTACTTTTAATTTTTCCGGTTTTGCAACAACTTTTTTTCCTTTTTTTTTTTTAAGGTTTTCAAATAACAGTAAGATTACTTTAACCTTTTCATATAATTGATATTGAATATTATTATTGGTATAAGGATGAAACCAGTTTTTTATTCATTCATTTCAAATTTAATAATAAATTAGTTTTCCTTTTTTTTCTTTTCCTAGTCATAATGAATTTATAAAGATTGATGAAAGAAAAGAGGAAATAACATTTCCTGAAATTATTATCAATAATTTCAGTTTAACATAATCAATTCTTCCTATTTTTTTTTTTTTTATTCATATCTATAAACCGGTTATATTTTAATCATTTACCTAAACAGACCTATGATAATATTAGTGATAATATCAGTGCAAGATGCTTTCAGCTTTAACATACCATCAATCATTCCGTTTTAATTCATATAAACTAACCATTTGTCTCTGTTTTTCTTGTTTTTTTTTTTGTTTGTTTTTTTCTTTCTACTAAATTTACACTTTTATTACACAATTTTAACTTGCATTATTGATAAATTCGTGTCGTAAAAAGAAATGTTTCATTTTAGTTTAAAAATTATTTATTTAACTAATAAAATTGTCAACTTTCAAAAATTAATTAATTTTAGGATGACAGTTATTTTGATTCGAAAAATTTTCAATGTGACAAATTCCATCACGTCACAATTACCATTCATAACTTTCTCCTGGCGATATTATCATACTCATCGACAAATTCATCTTATGACTACATCACAATTACCATTCATAACTTTCTCCTGGCGACATTATCATACTCATCAACAAATTCGTCGTATGACTTCATCAAATCATATCCTTACATTGGAAAATTTAAATCCTAATATTATTGCTATGGAATATGCTGTACGTGGTCCATTGGTTATTCGTGCTATGGCAATTGAAAAAGAATTGAATAAGGTATGTTTGAATAAAATTATCGTAATTAAATTTTAGCAATTTTAAATTAGCTTAATTAATGAGCAGATAAAATAGCTATTAATTAATTAATTTATGCTTATGTGAATTTTCAAATGATTATATTTAGGTTTATTAGTTTCCTTTTTCCCTTAATAGATAATTTTAATTTTAATTTTCAATTTAATAATTTCTCTTTTATTTTTCTCTCAATTTTAATTTTTTCATATTCATTTGCTGATTACATTTATTTATTGATTAAGATATACTCACTTTTTTATTTTCACATTTATCAACCCACTTAGTTAATTCCTTTATCAGTTACAGTAACCTGATAAGGCTAGAAATGGAAAATGAAATTACAGTAATCTGATAGGGTTAGAAATGGAATACTGTATTATCTAACATGATCATCTATAATAGAATAAATGATTGAAAAATTTTTGATCTGCTTTATTTTATTTAACAAAATATGTTTAATATTGTATATTGGTTAGAAATTATATTTTTTATTAATTTGAAAAATTTTTATACTCTTTTTGGAAATATTTTACATAAAATGACACCAAAATTGCAATATTTTCTTTATTTCAATCTCGAACTTGGATAATTAATTAATTAACTAATTAATTAATTAATTAAATGAAAGAAATAAATATTACCATCGTATAAATGATCATTAACAATAGCAAAATATGAATTAATATGTAAATGCTAAATTCTAAAACGTTATCATACGAACAAATTTTAAAAGGACCAATTTGAAGAATAAAAGAAAAGGAAGAATGTTATCATGCTATGTATAGGGTTTATATATATATACTTAAAGTATTGATTGATTTTATGATTACACAGATTAGCAATGCTTCTTGTTAGCTTAGCTTATACTGATAAAGCTCTCTTTGTTAGCTTTATATTAGTAAAACGTTTTGTTAGCTTATATTGCTAAGCAATGAGCACATATATAAATTTATTCTCTCTCTCTCCCCTCTCTCTCTCTCTCTCTC